GGTGCTTTAGGCTTCAAATATACCCAAGTCTTGTCACTTTTAACCTGCTTTTGAGAAATTGAGATTCAAGACGTTTTTTGTGAGCCAGATAATAAATGGAAAATCAATTCTGTCGAAATTTTATTTATGAATGACCTTATATATCGCTTTTATATAGCTGGGCTTTATAATGTTGGATAGTAAAGATTGCATATTATAAAAAGTATGACTTTTTAATGCTTTGATGTGTGTTAATGTGTTTATAATAAGTATAATATATGTTCGAAAATGATAGAAATTGATTTTATTTCAATTTTTTTGGTATTTAATTTAAATTAAAATAATATTTTTTAATATTTAATTAATTAATAACTAATTACAGTTTTCACTATTTTATTGTTGTATTTATTGGATTTCAGATTATTCAACTTAAGAATGATTTTGAAAACTGTTATTAATTTTCTTAACGGCACGTACAGGGTGGACCATTTTGGTTGTTTCTATAGGGTATCTAGGAAACAGTAAGAAATATTCAAATTTTGATACTCCAGTCTCGGGTTCTTTTTTTGAAAAAATTACAATGGCGCAAACGGATCGTGGCTATCTTGATCGGTTTCGAAGCTACAGAGGGATTCTCAAATTTTGTACTTTTTGAAGATGTTCGGTAGTTTGTTTATTTCAGCAACCACGGAAAAATGAATTATACATTCTAAAGGCACTTTTCTGTGTAGAATGCAGTGGCGTAGTCAGACTTTTTTCGAAAATAATATTTTTTGAGATGTTAACTATACTTTTGTTTTTTTAAATAGAACCCCCTGTATCTTTTTAAATTTTCTTATTCATCTTGGCATGAGCTTGTCGAAAATATTTAACACTCTATATTTATTTTCACTATTAACCTCAAACATTTCAACTTTTTCTTAAAATATCCACTTGTTAAGGTTAAAAAGGTTAAAAGATAGTTTAATCAATTTTGGAACTTTTCAAAAACCGCATCCGAAAAATTATCAGAAAGAAAATTAAGAAAATCAATATGTTAGTGTCCTCGGAGCCATACATGAATTAGCAATTAAATAAAATCGAACAATACGAAGCAAATAGAAAATAAGTTTGACAGAAACAAAAGAACATATTTTAATATAAACTCAAGAGGTTACCTCAACCGGGCTTCTCAGTTAATATAAAAAAAAAATAAAAACACAAAGACTACATTAAATGTTCGGTCTGTTGCCCATTATTATCTAGACAGAGTTGGTACCGTCTCCGCACGCCGCTAACAGCATTTCAATAGCTCTACTTGATGTTGTCGGATCTAGTGTTACGGCTCCGAGGACATTAATATATTGACATCTTACTTACATCTTCTTTCTGATAATTTTTCAGACGCGGTTTTTGAAAAGCTCCAAAATTGTTTAAACTATCTTCTAACCTTTTAAAAATGGCTGGGTTTCGTTGCTTGCGCTCTGGATGCCGCTCAAAATATAAATCAGCTGCCATTTGCTTATGTTTGTTAGACTTAATATAACATTCTAACATATTATATTTCTCAAAATTTTCAAATTTACTTATTTTTTATTATTTAAAATATACACACTTCAATCTGTTGAAATGAAATTTCACGCATCCATCAAAGGTATGTCCCGATCACCATGACAACCGTTTACTGTGTTACTCGGCGCGGCCGACTATCTACAAGTGGATATTTTAAGAAAAAATTGAAATGTTTGAGGTTATTAGTGAAAATAAATATAGAGTGTTATATATTTTCGAGAAGCTCATGCGAAGATGAATAAGAAAATTTAAAAATATACAGGGGGTTCTATTTAAAAAAAAACACAAGTATAGTTAATATCTCAAAAATATTTTTTTCGAAAAAAGTCTGACTACGCCACTGCATTCTACACAGAAAAGTGCCTTTAGAATGTATAATTCATTTTTCCGTGGTTGCTGAAATAAACAAACTATCGAACATCTTCAAAAAGTACAAAATTTGAGAATCCCCCTGTAGCTTCGAAACCGATCAAGATAGCCACGATCCGCTTGCGCCATTGTAATTTTTTCAGAAAAAGAACCCGAGACTGCAGTATCAAAATTTGAATATTTCTCACGGTTTTCTAGATACTCTATAGAAACAACCAAAATGGTCCACCCTGTACAGTACATAAATACGTATAAAGAACTAACTCACATTTACAATAATAGTGAAACATTTGTTGAGATTATTTTTATTAACACAAAAAACAAATAATAGCTTAGATGACATCCTAATAACTAAACAATAATTATAACATTAAAAAACATAATTTAGAAAATATTATTTGTTATAATCTCACAAATATTAATTTATTTAACTTTATAAAAAAAATTATAATACCTATTTAAAAACAATTTGACGAAATATGAACAAATATTTTTGCAGAAGTCTATCTGTCTGGAAGATTTATAATTAATATTTTAGTTTAAATTCTTCTCGATGTATTTGCAAACTTAATCCAGTTTAAATACACTTTAATTAAAATGTTTTCCTTGCTTTAGAAATACCGTTATTTCAAGTTGGAAACCTAATAAAATGGATTTCTAGCTTATTAACATTTCTTCCAACTTTGTAGCAAGGGTACAATTACGAGATGCAGTTCGTAGATTTGTGTTGCAGTATTTATGTAAACTACATTCATTTGGTAAATGTCCATATTATTATTGTAATTTGTTATTCATGACCTAAACAAGGCCCATAACAAGGATAATTTGATGTTTTAGAATAATTGTTATTTTGACATTTCATAAAATCATATTACGACTTTAATTGCTTTCATGCCAGACGCTGTACTAAAGAAATGTAGCAGTATATAAACAAATTGTAAAACGTATTTGGAAATAAGACAATTAAAACTAAGAACAAGTCATGTTGGATTTACATATACAGGGTGGCGCCTCTCATACGACGCGGAGCCTCCAAGAAGAACGGTAGTTTATATAGACATGAAATTTTGCATATGTAGATTAACTGAAAGCATTTTATAAAAATATATCTACAGGGTGCCCCAAAAAAAGTTACCCATCAAAGTTGTTTTTTTTTGTGATGGAACACCTTATATATTAATTGATTTTCGGATTCTAGGATAAAAATAAACGTGAAATTTATTAAAGAAGCATATGACTAAAATGCAAGGATTTTGACGTATTTCAGATTTTGTAAAAATGAATAATACATTTTAAATTTCAATAACAGCTACTTAAATTGCAATTTATCTTGCACAACCTGATATTTAGTTAAAATAACCATTGTATATTAAACCAAATTAAAATTTGACCCGAAAAGTTATACAGGGTGAGACCAAATTAATATTGAACGTTGGTCACTTTTAAAAGCAAGTTACTCTTTTATTTTAAATGAAACAGCCAGTATATTGTTCCAGTGTTCAATGGAGGGTATATCTTCATAATATTATTAAAGTTGCCTACCCCTCAAGCAAATTTTTTTCTAAATATTTTCATTTATATGATTTTGCGTCGGTAAATATTTATTATTTGATAAAATCTAGGGTGACGGTGATATAGTTAATTTAACACAAATTAAAAGATGTAGAGTAAATAGTAAAAAATTAAAAGATATACGTTTAAAATATACTTTAATTATTACAGAATTAAAACTAGATATAAACGTAAAATTATGTGACAATAATTAGCTAGATGAAATCAAATAATCAAAATGGTTCCTTTTCTGTTCACTGCATAAAATTATTCTCGTTAAAAGGCATATGTGGAGTGTTCGATGTAGGCACTTCGAAAAGCAGCCACAGTCAATTCTCCCATGATGTCGACAATTATAGTTTGAGAGTTTTGTAAATGTTGTCCTTAATATATATCGCAATAAAAAAGCCCAGACTAGAAAAATCTGGAGCATTTAAGTATTCTATTAATTGGTGAATGCAAACTGCAGTCACCAACTAATAGAATCATATCACTTCTCTCTGGTGTATGATAAGTTTCCATTTTCAGCAAATTTCTGAAATTTTTTTTCTTTTAACTGACACAAGATGATAATTCGTGTGTTAAAGATGAACTAATTTGATTAGATTAACTATGTTGAAGTAACGTCAGACATAATATCACAGCCACCTAGATTTTATCAAATAATGAAGATCTACTGACACTAAATCATAAATATGAAAATATCTACGAAAATCTTTGTTTGAGGGGTAGGCAACCTTAATATTATATAATATTTAGTTAATATCGGAATAATATACCAGCTGTTCTGTTTAAAATATAAGAGTAATTTGTTTTTAAAGCTGGCCAATGTTGAATATTAATTTTGTTTTTATAACTTTTTGGGCCAAATTTTAACGTAATTTAAAAATATAATAGTTATTTTAGCTACATATTAGGCTATACCGGGTAAATTTTAATTTAGGTACCGTTTATTTAAATTTAAAACTTGTTCTTCATTTTTAGAAACTGTTAAATATGTCAAAAACATCTCAGTCATTACTTATTTAATAAAAATCACTTTTATTTTTCTCTACTGTTATGTTACTTTTTTTAAGAACACCCTCTACAACTCTCTATATTTTTAAAAAGGTCTCTAAATCAACTTACAGTTGTACAAATATAGGAAGAGACTTGAGGCTAGCACCGGTCGCGTGTTATTTTATATTTCTTAAGTCTCTAGCTATACTTGCTAAGTTGTACATATCCTCACAAAATTTCATTACAATACAAACTTTAGTTCTCCTTGGAGCCTCCGCGTCGTATGAGAGGCGCCACCCTGTACAATATTAAACTAAATGATTGAGGCGAGGAAGCCATTTAATAAAGTTTGAAGAACTTTTTTCCGAACAAGTTTATAACACCATTAACCATTTTTATTCTCAAAACACTTTAAACTCTGCTGAAAAATTGTAGCTCTGCAAAAGCGACGTAAATACTCTCTTCAAACGAATGTTGAAGAGAGTATAGTGTGTTGAAATAACTCTAGTGTGTTGAACTAACTTCTTTAAATTCTCTTCTTTTATTTTCAGATACAAATTATCCTCGACGACTGCTGTTGAAAGAACGCGAGCACTTATAATGTAAACAACTTTGCGAACCTCCATCCGGTGTCCGCGTGTGTTAGTTCGTAAACCGGTCGTACGATGGGACCATTATCGTTTCTGATGGAGAGATATGTGACCTGCTGCTTTTTATGTCTCACTTTGGCCGTTTCAACCTTCCAAGCATTTCAAGGTATCGTATTATATATTATTAATATAATTATATCATAAATTATGTGAATAGAACTAAATAGTATAATTGAAACGATTTGTGTATCACATGTTCTTAAGTTATGAACTAGGTACACAATGAATGAAAAAATATAAGCTTCATTCTTATTTGAGATTGAAATAAGTAAAACAATTAGTTTATCATATATTTTTATGAATTACTTGATAAAGAATTTCTGATTATATTTGCACCCTACAAATTTAATTGTATTAAATTTTATTTAGATGGAATTACGGCAAGTACAGGGTGAGTCAACGATAGAGTAAAGTCCATATATGATTTTTTCTAGGTTTACAAAAAATGTTAAATAAAAAAGTTGTAGGGGAGGTTAACATACAAATTTTAAAACTATTATAGAGTATACAGGGTACTTAAAAATTGTGTAGTGGATATAACATATGTTTTTTTAAATACAACGTCCTGCAACTGTAACTCTGTGACTTTTTTGTACATAATTTTATATACCTAAAATGGATTGTTTTTGTAATATTTCAATTTGTTATAACAAAAGTTAGATTTCAGTGTGGTCAAAAATTGGCAGTGATAAGATTGTTTTTGAAGTTGGACTACTAAAATTTCGAAAAAAAGTGTTATAGACCTGAAAAAAGACATATATGTAAAGATATTTTAATTAGATGCTACAGGGTGTTCAAAATATATTTATGAATGTCAACTACTTAAAATTGTAGGGTGGAAATTATCTGGTTAAATTAATTAAAGGAAAATGATAATATTTAACTATATTGATTTATGTCAAAATATGAAATGTTTTAAGAGTAAAAGGAGCAAAATTATTTTTTGTTTCCGTTTGTTATAAAATTAATCTTTGTTATTTTAAATTCAACCCTATGTATATTATTTAAAAAATCAAAAGACTAATAAAATTGCTTTTCAACGATATATCATTTTCCTATACCTAAACCTTCCGATTTATTAAGTAGAGGTAATTAAAATTAATAATTTTATTATTACAGTTTCATTTCAAGAATTTCGTTACCATGACAATTTTAGAAATTTAGCACGTAAACTCTAATTGATATTTTGGGTTTAGGTTTTTTAAATATATATAGGCTTGAATTTAATATAACAAGAATTTGACCGATTTTATAACAAGCAGAAATAATATTTTTTTCTGACCTCTCTGTTTGATATCAAATGAGTTGATTTAGACAGATCGAATATGCCGGCCTTTCTTAACCCATAAACCAAATTTTAGCTTTTAATATGCCAAATTTATGATTTAACCAATGCTTTTCAAGATCAAGATGTAAATTTTACACAGGTTTTATTTTTTATCTCGAAAACTATCAAAGATTTGTATAGGTTAGGTTGTGATATAGAAGTTCGAACCTCCTTGTGAAAAATTTTGTGATATGGAAGTAGTTTCGAAAAACATAATAATATACCGGGTGTTTCGTTTAAAATAACAAAGAATTTACCACTTATAGTAAGAAGTGGTAATACTGTAATGCTGAAAATAATTTAGACAGATGGAGCAGGTGCCTTTATGGAAAAATCTAAATTTTCAAAAAAATCACCGGGCTTCCATAAACGTCTAACGTACTATGACCGTAAATCACCCTGTATATAAATCTTAAATCTATATATTTAGCTAAAAAGATTGTGCTAACTTAAGGTAGGTGATGTTTCATTAATCTGATTTATTTGTTCTTAAAGGCTTTCCGAACCAGTTATAATTTTGTCTAACCAAATTTCGAAGGTTCTATTGTCTCTTTCAAGTTAGATTTTGATCTTTAACCCGTTTATCTTCTTTGAACAATTTTACGACAACACAAAGTTGGGGGACACGATTGGCGGATTCTGTTTAATTAGCATATATTTTTGACCCTGAAGACGTTGCGTGAAAACTTTGCTAATTTAATATTCTTAGGTGAGAGTTTTAGCGTTTTCAAGTGTATTTTATAGAACACAGCTTACGTTGCTTAATCGTTGAGTAATTTTGAGCCTCTAATTACTAATTATTTAAAGCTATAGGAATTTAATTGAATAAGTATTTCTATAAGAATATTATTTTACTATCATACAAAAAACTTCTCATTATAAATCTTTACGATCATTATATTTTTTGTATAAATAGAAATAGAAATATATTAGGTAGGAAGATACTAAAAATAAGATACTAAGAATAAAATACTAAGAAGGTAACAAGAATAGAAGAGGACAAAAATATACCTAATACGGTTCTTTTAATTTAACAAAATATCCGTGTCCCATTACGTTCTTCCTTTTTATATACATAAATAGAAATACCTTTATATAACTATAAAATATAGGTAGAAATAAATAATGCAATAACAGTGTATTAAAAAGTAATCATTGTTAAGTATTAATTTTTCGTTTGGTTTGGTTATACATATAATTAGAAAAAAGAAAAAAGAAAAAAATTATACTAAGCTGATATTATCCTATTATATTTTACCTTCCCCTTAAAAAGTGAAGCTATTGTTTGCATTAATAAACAAATAAATTAATATTCTAAGCTGATAATATCCTATTACAGATTTAATAAATATTTTTTTAAATTTGTTTTAAATTTATTAATTGTCTAAATAGACCAAATATCAAGATACAACTTTTAATCGGCATTAAACGGTTTATTTAATTTTGCCAGCACGAGAAAAAAAGTCAATGGTCCACATGTTTTTTGGTAATATTCCAGTGATTCCAGAATCTGTCGAAACTCTTTTAGCATTAAAATATGTAGCGCTTTTAGTAACATTTGCCCTCAAAATTGGATTAAAATCACTAAAAGCACTTGAAAGTGAATTATAATAAATCGAAAATACATGAAGATTTTAACCTCCTGTAGCTACGAAACGATAAGATGCATCTATAAAAATTGTTAAAATCATACACTGAAAAAAAAATTGTTCATAATATTAATGAACATTGATTATTGACTGTTGGTTCATTGGGACAATGATTTTTTTCTTTATATTAATGATTTGTTAATTATAGGTTGATGCCTGATTTATTAATAGTATGAATCTAATTTCATCAATATAATGAAAATCTGGTTATTAAATTAATGTAAGATTTTTATTAATATAAAGAACGCGTTCATTGTTCCAATGAATGCGGTCTTTATTTTAATGCTGAAACTTTAATGAATACATATTCATTATATTAATGTACTAAATCATTGATTAATGAGTTGTACATTGTGACAATGAACAATGTTATTAATACAAGGAACACACTACATTATATTAATGAACGCGGTTATTAATATCAGGAATAAAATATTAGGACTTAAATGGTGGCCATCTTGTGTGGTTGTGTTATTCAGTGAGGCTTTAGTTTCATTAGAGCGGTAAATGTTCTATTCATTATTTCAAATATTTTAAATAAAAGTCCTATCGTATTGTAGTTAATTTGTTGTGTTGTCAAATTAAATTCCGCTATGTGAGATCTCTGGTGCGGGTATTCATTAAAACAGCGGTTTCTAAATATGTTTCAGAAGATAAAAAACAAAAAGAAGCATAGTAACAAGTCGAGGCATGAAACTGATTTGGTAAATTCCAATGTTCTTTTAATATTTGGCATTTTAATTATTTTGATATACGTCACTTTTAGAACCGGAACAAGATGCTGAGACCTGCCTTTAAGCCCTCAAATTCGACAATTTAACATCGGACGCACTTGATGCGACTTGGAAGGCCTGTTACTAATTGGTCTAGACATTATTAAGTCTAACGATACAGCTAATATAATGAAGAAATGGTCTTTTTATAGAAATCCCTCAGGATATCGACTGGTAAATTAATTTTCTTATTATAATTTATCCTAAAATTAATAATAACATTACTATTCTCTTCGTCGATTTGATTTCTTTAATTTTTAACTTGTATATGCTATATCAAGTTTGAATAAATTATTATTAGTTTATTGCACTTGTTTTTTATTGCCCTACTGGAAAAATTTACTGTGCTCGTAAGTAAATCGGCACTATTGGTAATTTTGTTATCTTTGTAGCTAAGTACTTCTTCAAATGGAAATTTATTCATAATAGTAGAATTATTTTAGATTTTAGGTAGTTGGCTGGGAAATGGCTATCAATGACATTTCATATCAATGACAGCGATCTTCATCATCGATTATACGGTATAACAAGAGTTACTAATAGTGTCGACTTTTAAATGTATAACTAAACAGGTTATGAAATTATTTCATTGTATTAATGATACAGTTCATTAATATAAGGATTGAGGTACATTATATTAATGAAATATGTTCATTGTACCAATGAATGTGTCCTTTAAATTAATGAACACTGTTCATTGATTTAATGAACTTAAAGTTCATAGAATTAATGAATTACTTTTCATTGTGCCAATGAAATCGTTTATCGGCTCAAAATTGATATTGAATAATGATTTAATTCATTATATAATTATATAATTATATTAAATAATGAACTTTTTCATTATATTTATGTCGATTTTTGGTTCAGTGTAAACAAAAACTTAACGTAGCATAACAACAAATCAACGAAAATAACACATCAGAAATGAACTATGTAGAAATCAAAATATATAGAAACAACATATAAAAAACTATACATTTTTGTTTGCTATCTAATTTATCACTTATAAAAATATTATACTTATTGATGTTTCAGTATGTGTGATTTTTTTCTTCACAGCGTAAAAAGTCTGATTGGACATTTCAAATATCTTCTACAGATCCGTTCCTGTGACTCCGTGTTGTACAAAAACTAGAACGCTTATAACTTTACAAAAACTATCTGAAGATACCTTAATCGAATAATTCAATTGCAGCAATTTCGTATCCGACCAAAATCTCAGAGACCTGCCAAAAGCAACGAATCGGGTCCTAATTCAATTTGAAACTTATTTTGCCATTTTAACATTTTACCGGTAGAAGCTATTATATTTATCTTGACACTTGATTTCCGGAAAACTATTTCCGGAACTTTT